AGAAGATAGTGTTCATGCAACGGTTTTGCAAGATTTAACAAGGTTTAGTGTGTGACTCCTGGGCTATGAATGCTTTTTGTCTTGTCCCAACTAAAACCTGAGCCAAGACTATTTCTGGTTCTCCCATCTCTAAGCAATGAGACCACGTTTGCCATGTTTCTGCAGCGAAGTAGATCCTCCAATGTGTATTTTGAAGTGTCGAAGCACAGAGGGTGTTGACAAAATTTAAACTTTTTTATATCCTATCTCATGTCACTGGTTTAGAATTTTATTTGGGTTTTTTTATTGGCAAAGTTGATCAGATATCAGTCAGTCAAAGCTGCATTAATCATTTTTAACGCATCTATGGAGGATGGTGTGAATATGATAAAATAAGACTTTTTTAAAAAATCTGACGAGTGCAAACAGATGATGGGTGACAGTGATATTTTCAGTACAAGCTGGGAAACTGCTTTCTTTTGGATCTCTTACCTCTCCTAACATTTTAACGGAAGAAGATGCAAGACAAAACCTGTCCTCCTATGCCAATCATTTCAGAATACATTTCTCTAAAAATAATAATATAAATATGTAAGAAAGAAACAAAAATAAAGAAGGTCAGAGGAAGGAAACTGCCCCAGACACAGTATTTAGAGAATCGTTTGGGTTTTTTTCTGGTTTGGGTTTGTTGGCTTTTTTTGGCTGTTTTTTTGTGGGCTTTTTGTGTTTTGTTTTGTGGCTTTTTTTTTTTTTTCATTTGGAGCCTTGTGTGATTCTAAATACCAAAGATGATAAAGCTAAAGGGTATTTCTTACAGTCCAGATGGTGGTGTCCACTGATGCCTACTTAGCTAATAAGGATCAGAGGCAGATTGAGACTTTAATTTGGATATGATTAAACACTAAATACATGCCCACTAAGTTGATGAAATGATTGAAGGCAACACAAACCTTTTCTAAGATATGAAATAATTTTTTTCTGTAATCATAGTCTAGGTTGCTGGATAGATGCAAAAATGCAGGAATGGTACTGAATAGATTGACTTCTAGCATGAGACTGTTTTGCTTTGTCTTCAGTGTTTTCTCTATAATAAAATACGATGGTGTCATTCAGTAAAAACAACTTTGGGCGTTCCCTTGAGCTCTCCAAGGGTGCCATCCTAGTAAGAGATACACCATGTGCACTAGTATTTGTTAAGTTTGGCTTACAGCCTTTTCTACATCTTCTTTGGTGGCTAATAGTGCCAGCAGCTTGTTGCTGTCAGTCATCCACCAGAAGCAGCTCAGGAAAGTTTTTGTCCATGTCCTAATCTCTGCTTCACCTACACCTCTGCCTGTTTTTGGTAGGATCACGTGTTTTGGTGTTATATAATATTCCTTTTTCTTGTACTAACTGAGCAATTTTGATACAGAATTGATAGGACTGCAAAATGTCAGTGAAAGTTCACCTAGTACTTCATTTCCCTGATGGTAGAGCAGGCTTGAGGAACTGACAGTGCTAAGAATTAACTTCTAATTTGTTCTAAATTTGCTGTAAAATATGAACCCAGTTCACCTCTAACCAGTAAGAAAAGTCTCTTTGAAATATATGCGAACTAAAGGAAACTTCTGATTCTTTGTGGTGATTCATGTTACAAAGTATTTCCATTGTTGGAATAAAAATGGAAATCAAAAGCTTGTTGTAGAAAATTAATTCCCAGTGAGCAATTATCCATGTGACAAACCAACCTTGTAATTGGCACTTCTGTTGGCAATCTCCATAGAAAAGTAAAGGATTGACAGAACCCAAAGGCAGTCCCTTTTGGGGGAAAGTGAATTGTTAGCATATCACATGCTGATTCAAGGACAAGAAAGTGCTGGACTATTGAAAGACAGCAGTGCCCAGGGTGCTTCACTCCAACAAAAACAAACAAGCTGCTCCACTAAGTTCCTGGTGTTCATGGCTGAGAGTAAGATCCTGAAGGTCTGAACCCCAAACCTGGTCAGTGGAGGGTGCTGGAGTCTGCAGGCAGCTTTTGAAAGGTGTTAGTGGGGTAAGGGGTGAAAGCATCTAGAGGGAGTTTTGGTGACTGAAACACATGGGTGATATTTTAGCACTGATGACTGTTCTCCCAAGGCTTCCTGCCAGCAGAGGAGAGGATTCTCTGTAAAGAGAGTGTAAGTAGAAGTAAATGTAGTTCAGGTTAATCGCCTCTTTCATGGAAAAACTTTTATTTAAAAGGGAAAATGGAAGAAAAAAGAGTGAGAAGTAAATATTTTTGGCTGAAAATAGAAAATAGTTACATTAATCTTTGCTGCGTCCACTGATGAAAATGCATATTGGCAGTAGGATTACAGTCTGGGTATCCTAGGACTGCTACCATCCTTGTTCCTCTGTAGAAAACAACACCCCTGACAAACCTTGTTGCCCTTCTCTGAAAGGAAAAGTCCTCTTGCTTTGGACAGAGCAGGAAACGAGAGGGAAAACGTGTGTGCTATGGCAGCTGGAGCCTTACCCTGCCCAATTCAATTTTGTCCCTGCCTATGCTGTTGCCCGTTTATACCAGAGGGTTTTCCAAAAGCTCTGTGTCATTATCTTGGCCTTGCTGTTTAAACACTAGCCATTACTAGAAGAAGGAAGGAAGAGACAGAGCAATGATCTTTGACTGAGGCCATGGAGGAGACTGGTGGTGAACTGGGAGCAGAACCCAGATCTCCTGCTTGCCAGGCTGCCCTCCTACCCCTCCAACACTTCCCCCTTTCAGTGCTTCCATCTGGTGCCTTCACTAGTGGTAAGACAGTTTCAAAGGTCCGTTTCACCCCATTCTCTTAGAAGCTGCTAAATTATTTTTACTTATTTGTTTGTTTTTATCGCTCGGTGCTAGTTTTTAAGTACATGCTTTCTGTTCAGGTTCCATTTTAAATGCCATTCCATTAAAGAGCTCCTGCTGCTCATAAAGTCAGCCTGGCCACTGTGAATAACCTGGCAGGCAGTGTGAACTCTGCTTTGACAAGCTGTAGCACCGAACCCCGTGCGCGCTTCCTCTTCCATCAGCTCCACGCGCTCTCTCTCCCCGACTTCTGTTGGCCACCGGGGGCTGCGAAACGAAAAACTACCTGATTGTGAATTATGGCAGTAAAAGTTTATAAGCTGCTAAAATGAAGTTACAGCACCTAGGAGCCCGGTAGACTTACAGTGTTAAATGACACGTTTTAAAACTCGCTCTGAGAAGGCGCTGCGAAGGGAGCGGCGCAGGCGGAGGTGAGGTGGTGCTGCTCTGAGACAGGCAGGAAGGTAACGTGGCACGGGGAGAACTGCAGAGGGGTTTGGGAAAACTGCTGCACGGATGGCAGTTGTTCTCTGTTAATCCCAGGCTTTGAAAAGAAACATGTTTACAACTCTAAGACGTGGAGGGAAGACGAAGAAATGTAAATACACGAATGCGTGTTGGGGAGGGGGTTGTAATTTGGCTACAGTCTCTCCCGTGCTGTGGAACTGCTCTTTTTCTCTAATTAGAAAAGTACTGACAAGTTAAGGTTGGCATTTGATGGCTAAAGATGGCATTAGTGGCCAGAAGATTGGTTAAGGCTGACAGGTTTGTGCAGCACAGCTGTGGCAAGAAAGCTGGCTTTCCTCCTCTCCTCTTTAGGTCATTCAAGAGCTGAATAGCCACACTATTTAGATCGGCAGGATTTGATACCAGACTTAAATGTAGCAAAGAAAGGTGACTTTGGGCATATTAATGGTGGTATTTTAGTGCAGATCAGGAGTGTGCTTTTATTCTGAATCTCCTGATCATCTCTGATTTGCATTGCAGAATGATCTTGGAGCATAAAAACAAGTGCATTCCTTTTGGACGGAGCTAAAGAAAAAGGAATGCTCATGTCTGATATGTTCCAGCTGTTAGTGGGAACTGGTCTGATGTGAACCCCCCTGAGCTGTGGATTGTGTGGACATTGCATTTTCAGCACCAGCTGCTTCACATTCTATATTTCTTCATTAATTGCTAATGAAGACAGTCTATCTGCCTTCTTCAAAGGCAATAAATATTCTATATTTCCAAATTATGTAAGTGGTCATTACAGCACTGTATAGGTCTCTGATATTCTGTAATTTCAGTTTCTGTCTTCTTTTTCAGTTTGGTTTTATTTTTTTACTGTAGTTGGTTATGGTACTTCAGGTGCTTACTGTGTTCAGTTGCAGACTGACTGGGGCTGGCTTTCTTTTTTAAGCTTTTTGATTTCCATAGTTATTTACCACCTGAGCTTGTTTGCAGACCTGTTGCAATGAACACTGAAAGCAACGCAGTTGCAAACTGAAGCACACAGGTATACAAGCAGGGAAGCCTCTTCGTGCACCCAGGTGGTTCTGTCCTCTGCTGAATGGAGGCTGCCAAAATGTCCCAGACAGTATTGCCAAAAGCTTTGGTACAAAAAGATCTGATTCATGCAAATAAACACTGCATGCAAGAGAAGAATGTGTTGCTAAAGGCAGCTATAAAGAAAGGTAGAGTGTCAGGTGGCATCTTGGTAATGGAGCACCATCCAAGGCACCAAGCAAATGCTTCTCATGTTTTGGGGTTTTTTAAAATTTTTTTTTATTAAGGAGAACCTATTGAAAGCATGAGAGATATGAATAAGGATTTCTACTGGCCACCCTATTGTAGCTCTTTCTAAAACTTTCACATTTAACATTCATTTAGCTGTGTGCACAGGACAATACAGAGGGAAGGTGGCCCAATCATTGCAGGAGTAGCTGTGCAGAATTAGGTTTTCCGGTACACTTCAGATTTATTAGGAAGGTTCTTTAGTTTCTTTAGGTCTCTGTTGCCCACCTGCAAAGCAAGAGCAAACATACACTGTAGACTCAAAAAAACCCCCACGTAGGTGCTGTGAGAATGAAGTCTGTATAAACATCTACAGGGGGGTTCAGAGCACCTGCTGGGATTGTGTCTTACACAAAGTTATCTTTGTGTCTTCCATATGAGCCATGTCTCTTGCTGCAAGGCAAACTAATTCTGCTTCAAATGTCTGCTTTACCAGGCAACTGGTTTCCACACTTGCTGCATGAAGGTAAATTGGAGAGATTCTTCTTCTTCTTGGCTTCCTTAATGATGGTGAACACCCTGGGGTTCTGGACCATTGCACACAGGTATGTGTAAGAAAACGAAAGCTTGACATTTCATTTGTACGTGTGGGTAGAAAATCTTTTAGAATCTGTAAACCAGTGTGTAATTAAGAATTGGTAGTGGTAGATATGTGAACAGAGATTTCACAACAAAAATGTGGTAAGGTTAAACAAAAAAGACTGGTGCCATTAGCCTTAAATACTTAAGGAGTCTTATTAATTTTAAAATGTCTTAAAGAAGAGGGTCATATTCTTTATAGAAAGGTGTAAATATTTTGGCATGGAGTTTAGATAGGAGCACAAAGATATCTTGGCCATGGAACTGACTTCCACTGCACTTGGCTTTGTACCAACTTATAGAAAACAATACAGTCATCTCAACAAGCTTACACCTTTAGTACAGGACAGTAGTCAGAGGGGTGGTAAGAAAGCAGCAGACCACTGCAGGTTGATGCTGTATGCAGTGGTTTCAAAGGCACAACCCTGCAAGGTTTTTTGACACTCTACTGGGCATGGGATGAAAGCAACTTTCTGCTGGAGACAACAGAATTTCTCAGCCCCCACACAGGAAGCAATTTGAAGCTGCCTATAGAGTGTAGGTTTAATCCCTGTATGTCACCTGTAAACTGCAAGGAACTCGCCTCTGCCGTCCCCTCTTACATCCAGGGTGGTCTGAAAGTTAGCCTGCCTTCCATATTCCAAAACATTCATCCCAGTTAACTCTCTGTTGTCAGCATTATAAGTAATATTTGAAGTCAAGAAGAGGGAGGGAAGCAACCTGTGTCACCAGGAGTGGGAAGGGTCACGTGCAAAAGGCATTTACCCTTAGACACTGGGAGGCAGTTCCATGGAAATCCTTCAGAAACCTTTGTGAAGTAGGGATTTGATGACGACAGTAATGGAAAACTTACAAGGGTAGTGCACTTCTAGAGCTCTTGACAAAAGTATTGCTTTTTCCATTACATTTAGCACCAACTTGGCAGCACCAAAGTCTACTGTAGCATCTTGTCAATTCTTTCAATGTGATTCTCTTCTTTTAAACGTGACCTGAGCCACAACTAAAAAAGTTTCTCCTGCATGTACTTTGTATTCCTCTCATGAAATGCGATTTTATTCTTCCGTAAAATGAAATTTTCATTTCTGACATTTACTGCTGAAAATAAAAGGTTTTGGTAGTCAAAAAGTTGACATAAAATTGGATTCAGCTCAATAAAAAAATTTTCCACAACTTAACATGTTTTTGAGGAAATGTGTCTTCCTAAGAGTAAGAAAAAAAATTTTTAAAAAAATTATTTCAAATCAGTTTTTCACTTCAGAACCAAGGCACTTCATTTCTCAATAAGAAAACCAAAACATAAAAAAAATAAGGTTTTTGAGGTCAAACGTAATTGTTTCATTTTGTGCTGAATAAGAATTCTCCCAGAGGGGCGAAAAAAAGGGCGAGGACCATTCAGACAAGCGCTGATTACATGTGGGAGAAATCAGGCTTTAAAACTCTGAATTAGGAAAATATACTAAAGTTTCTCTGAGGAAAAAGATATGTTTATTTTTTAAATTCATTAAAAAGGCACAGTATAGGTATTATTAACATCTGTATCCAGTTTGGCACTTCTCATCCTGCAGATCTGAAAGGTTCTAGGAAGATGCACATCACTGTCCTGCTTTTTGGCTGCCTAGAACTCCAGGACTCAGAAGGCACTGTACCTTGAAAAGTAATGCCTAATAAACAATGGGTGAAGCTAACACCTGAAAGGATGATTATTTTGGTATTTTCCTTCCCTATCATCTCCCCCAGATACAACAAACTGCACGAGGATTACACCAGTGAATTCAGAGGAAGTCTTTCTGGAGAAAAACTTTTGAAGCATGGAAAAGCCATCAAGCATTATGATACTGTCCTGGAAAGATCTCCCATTTTGTCTTCTATGAAAAAAATCTGATAAAATTTCACCCTTGTTTGACTAAATTTTGATTGTGTTATCCACCAACTTTCTGATGATAAATTACCTAGCATACTTAAGCGGAACCACCAATGTATTTGTGAATTATCTGATGAATAACAATGTTATTTATAAGTTTACAAAATAGCATTTGTCACGAGATTTTGCCTTGTAGGAGGCTTAACTGTCATAATTCACACTGAGGAGAAGGAGAGCTCGCTGCTTGGCATGGTTAATGGGGAGAGGCTTTTAATGTCTATATGGAGATAGGTATCCACATATATTTGTACTTAGGAATGGTTCGAAATTAATAAACATGTATTCATTTGTTTAGGAAATTACTTTGCGACAGTATTTACATTTATTTTGGAGTCTGGCATTGGCTGGTTGATACTTGCAAAGGTGGGAGACTCGTGTGCTGCTCTTGGATCTGCTGCTGATCTGCTACTCAACCTTCTGCCAGTTGCTGTAGTTTGCATGTCACTAAAATGGACACAGCCAAACTTTGTAATTTTCCTTGCAAATTGCCTGGAGATCTACCAAAAATGTACTAGATGCTGTATACCAGGCATCAGTCCATAAACTGTGCCATGAAAAATTGATGCTGAGGCATCCAGTCTTATCTGGCAGAAGCACTGTGAGATTTGCCATCCATAAAGGATGACATAAAGAAAAATGATAGGAGGAGAACTGGAGACTAGAATTTATTTACATCAAAATTACGAATTGTAGCCCAGCTTCAGGAGTTGAATTTAATTAGGAAAAAAAAGATTGGGAAAGGGTAGATGCAGTTGGAAATGGGGTGAAAAAATTATTAGTAAAATGCATTCTAGTTTAAAGATCTACAAAAAATCTTTGTTGATTGGCTGATTTTGTTATTGTGAGAGATGCTAACCTAGCACTTAACATTTCTTTTTAAAAGTCATATTACTAAAAAGAGTGAGAATAGAAGTGGAGTATTTAGGTCATAAAGAAACATATCAAACTCAGAAACTAGAGGAGCACTTTGATATCAAGATGTTCATAATGGAACTGGTAGTTAAGTCAAAATCCCTGCTAGATATGAGGAATGCTCTATCACAGGAGAAACTACATTAAAAGAATGTAATTAAGTGATACAGGGCAGTTTGTGAGCTGAAACTATAAAAGAGCTGGTAAAAGAAATCACTTCTCCACCATTAACCATATTTTATGCTGTAACTTTGGGTTGGCCGCTGTGGAAGTGGGAGCAAAATGTAGTAAATACACCTAAGAAGTAGGAAGGAAGGCAGTAAGGAACTGTTAGTTTGATCTCACCAGTATTTAATTATTTAAAAAATATATTTCTAGTCATGAGATTTAAAGAAAAATTGGTTCATATGCAACACAGATGCATCAAAGGTAGATTTGACAGATTACCCTAATGTCTGTGTAATGAGAACTCATTTTCTAAACAAAACATAGTAGAGATGATGTACATTGATTTCAGTAAAGCATTTGACATATGTCCCATGGGAAATAACTTGTGAAGATGGAGATCAGGGTCAGCAGGAGAGCTACGAGGTGGCTGAGGGACCCATTAAAGCCCAGCTGGCAACAGATACTGTAGAAAGAAGTACCCATCTGGAAGTGAGATTTTTGTGGAACTTGTTTAATATCTTTGTGGTGAAAAGAGGAATCCTGGGAAGCCCCGGTAGAGATGGAAGAAATAAGTATATCTTTCTACAAGTTTTATCTGAAATGATGATCCCTGTCAAAGATCTGCTTTCTGACTGAGTGGGGGATGTCTTGCCTTGATGGCAGAGCTGAGTGTACAACTCCCTGTTTGCCCTGTGAGAAGCGGGGTGGGGGAAACAAGGCTGCCTGCTTGCCTTGCCCTGGCTCTTGCCAGCAAGGGACAGACTCTTCCTCCAAAAGTGGCTGCACAAGCTGGGCTGGAGCTGGGGCTGTGAGAGGAGAGGCTGAAGGATCTATTCTCTGAGGACACCACAAAGTGGGGGACAGACTAATTTCCACATATTTGAGTAAATTTACCGGCCACGCTTGAGAATTGTTTGCTTGTAAGGTATTATTTTCTAAAATGTATTTCCATTGCAATAATTGTTTAAGCCATGAAAATTCCTGGTGTCTTCCATGAGAGATTCTTGAATATTTGACTTGACCTTTGTCTTGGCACAGAAGAGTTACAAAAATACTGTCTGGAGTCTGCTGACAGGAGGTATTGCTGCCAATACATTCGAGAGTTATACACAAGAGGAGAAGAACTGTGTAATAAAAGAGTAAAATCTAAGATTTGGGCCAGTGGATATAATTGGGCTGGAAATGCTTTTAACACCTAATGATAATTTTATTTTTTTTTAACTGCAAAAATAAGAGCAGTGTGGAACCATTCACACTGAGAACAGGAGAACAAGAAATCTAACCTTATTTCAAGATAGTGTTTCCCCTGATGCATTCTCAGGCCAAATGACCTCAAACTTCCTCAGACCAGTTTTTCTTTTTTTTTTTTTTACTCAGAAATCAAAATGCAAGAACAGATGAAAGCAGATAATAGAATGCAGCTACTGCAGTTGAATTGTTTGATGAAGATCATTCTGCAAGAAAAAGAGGATTAGTTAACTCCCTGGATAGGACTTGTCTGGCATGCAATCATGCAAGAAAGGCTTTCAGCAATGAAGGAAGCAGTTGGGCAGCCTTCATAAAGAGGTACTCTGGAAGGTAGGGATTAGAATGGGCTTTGGGATAAATAAAGCTCTCTGCCTTCTTCACAGAGACTAGAGGGATGCTTTTTCTATCAGATTTAATAAAGAACTTGGCCTTTTAGATGGATGGTGAAAAGAAAAGGAGGCACTGATCGCTGGATTTTGACTTATTTCGGTTGCTGGTGCAGAGAAAGCTACATGCAAAAGTCTATCAATCATGCTTGCTGTTATGACAGGGCAATTTAGCAGTTAAAACCAACAGACAGGGAAGCTTCTCAAAATGCAGCATCTGGGACTCCGATACAAAGCTGATGGAATCCTTTGTACGTTCAGAGCACTGCCGAAATTTTATAAATCTTGCACCAGCGCACAGTGAAATCAGTATAAAGGACTCTATAGGTTTGGTCTTGACTTTGGAAGAAGCTGCTTTTCACATGGTTTAATACAGTAGAAAAAATTAGAGGACAGAAAAAAATAAGGAGATGTGTGCACATATGAAATGATATAATAAGCAGGTGGAAGATGTTAGGATAGCCTTCTGTTGTTCAGCATTTCAGATATTTGGCAGTTTTCAAGGGAGATAACAAAGCACTCAGGTCTGATTGCTTGTATTTGAAGTCACCTGTTGATGTTCTGTATTGCTTTGCACCAAGCAAATCCAAGATATGAATGTTTTAATTCCCAACATAAAAGATTAATTTTTAAATGTTTTGTGGAAAAAGTGGCCTCCTGAGTGAGGTTAGGAACCAGAAACATCCCAGTTCAGTTTTCTATTTGAATGCTGCCTAAATTTTCTAAATCTCTCAGCACCGAGTGAAATTAGTATAAAGGACTCTAGATTCAGTCTTGACTTTGGAAGAAGTTGCTTTTGTGCAGCTCTGGTTTATAACTATTTGAGTAGGTGCTGTGCTCTGCAGAGGTCATTACTAGCCTTGAATAGCCAGGTGTATTGCTGGTTACTGCTGGTACAGTTTGGGGGTTTCTTTTTAATGTGGTTAAACGTGTCTTTTATACTGTATTCACGTACACACACTAAAAAAAAAATTCAAGTTCTGTCCCAGACAGTTCATTGAGCACCTCAGTTAAGCCTAAATGGATGGGACACCATTTTGAGTGCGGGAGAGTGAAGAAAACTCACTGGAGAGGATTAAGATCTCCATCTGTTAAGTTTGCACTGATGATAAAACACATGCTCCCAGTTGGAACAAGATGCATTAAAAGAGCAATTTCACTTCTACTGCCTAGCAACAATGTCACTGAGCACCTGCAATAGTTTAAACATTAAGCATAATTGGCTTTGCCTGACATAAATCTGTAGTTTTGTAAATAAGAGCAGTTGAGTTTCTATGTAATACCAATTAGCTATAAGGAATGCTTTGTTTGCTGAAGCCTGCAGCTTTGTGGAGGAAAGAGGGAGTTGTTAAGACTCAGCAGTAGTAGTCAGAAGGTAGAACCCAGATCAGACATTACATAGACTTTGAGTGTCCTTGTGCAAGTTATTTAACTTGTTTCAATCAGATTCCCTAGGTATGGAAGGAAGAATAACATTCAGAATTCTTTTTTTTTTTTTTTTCAGTAAAGAACCCCTGAGTTTGTCTGATTAAAAAATGCTGGAGGTAATTTTAGGGCATTAAACTGAGCTGTCTAGGTCTGTGCTGGATTTCCTTCCCCTTCTTTTAGTTGAAGCTACTCTTGCATCTTGAAAGTTCTTGTAAATTTTCTAGAAACATCTGCTTTCTCACAGTGATGGCAGGAAGAGGTGCATGACCTACTAGTTATCAAAATCAGTCTTAATTCCTCTGGAAACTCTGAGTTAGAAAGATGAGGTAGCAGAACACTTACCTTCCTTGTGGCTCTAGAGCAGAGTTGCACAGAACTAAAGCTTTTAGACTTAAGCTTGGTGTCTGTTTGCTCTAACATGTACTGCCTTGGCAAGGGCAAATGCAGCTACCTTCTAGAGGATGTTTTGAAAGTCTGCTTTTATTTCATCTTGATTAAAAAAAAAAAAAAGAATTCACAAGTCTCCTCGTGTTCTGAATATGATAAAAATTTCCTTTTCCTTTCTACCTGGCCCCTAGCGAGTCTCACCAAAGAAGTCATATACTGTTAGTCTAGTACTTTAAATCATTCTAGTTTCAGTCTTGTCTGTAATTTTAAATATAGATTTCCTTGATTCAGAGAAGGTTGACATCTAAACCTTATGCAGTTTACTAGTATTGCTGCTGACTCTTTAAAGTTAGTTAATCAGTTCTAATAGTGGTAAAAAGAATGAAAGGAACTGCTTTGACAGTGATTTTTCAGTGTTTTGAAGATATTTCATCTCTACAGAGTACTGGATATTGCACCCTAAGACTGCCAGATTGTAAATACAGTCTACATATTTTGTTGGGGGTTACCTGCTCTCAAAAATAAAATTAGCAGAAGCTTTTTTTTAAAATACTGTATGACCGGCATCTTTTCCAGCTTTGGGGTTTCTTGTTTGCTTGGTGGTGGGGAATTGTTTGCTTTCTTTATTTGGGGGTTAGTTGTTGGTTTTTTTTTTCATTATTTCCCTCCAGATTAAGTAAAGAAATTGGAGTATGTACATCTGCATTTGACTGGGGAGTAGCCCACCACCTTTGCAAAT